TTGTTCAGCTCTCTAATGCCTAGCAAGCAATTGTGGAGACTTTGGCCTGGATCGGGCACACATAACTAGTGACCTAAATTAAAGGCATTTTGATCTTAAGGAATTTTTATTTGATTTGTTGGTAGCCAAAATTATGCCAAATTGGTGTTAACATAAGTATTTTCTAGAATTTCAGGATTTTCCCAAGAGTTTCAGATCTCATAGTTTACTCTGCTACTGGTTTAGGTCTGATTTCAGCCTGAGTAAGGTCAATCAAGTATTCACATGGGTTTGTTACTAATCCCACTTGCGTTTTAGCTCATGGGTTTAAAATCTTTTTCTTTTTGCAACTATTATTTCTTTTTGTGCTGAAAATGTATAATACAATAAAGGAAAATACAGCAAAATAAAGTGTTATTCTTGATGCCATTGTCTTGTAGTCAAGAGAATCCTTAAAATTATTTTGTTCGTACATTCTAACGAATGAGGAAGGCTCAGCTTCCAATTTGTTTTTCTTTTCCTTTCTATCTTTTAAAGGTATGACCTCTGGATTTAGAAATCCTCTTTCCCTCAGATCACCGCACACTGTATACTGACCATTTACCATGTACTGGGCAGTTTTATGCAGGAGAAGAATGGGCAATCTCCTCTTGTGTGATCAACTTCCTCTGAAAACCCACTGGAGGGCCAGCTATGCATCCGTTCTGATTTGATGGCACACAATAGGCAGTTACGTAAGTATCTTATGGACATTCCTTAGTTTAAAAGAAAAAATCAAAGTCCTATTGTGTGGAAATTGTGGATTAGAAAGGTTTCATATTTGCATGATCTCATATTTGACGATCTCACAGTTAATATGTGATCAATCTGTGGTTGTGTCCTATTCATCCTTCAAATTCTGTTTCAGTCACTAGGTCATAGTACCTCTCTCACATGTCTCTTAATTGGGGTTCTTACCATTGAGAATTGTGTTACTGCTGTACATAGGCACTTGACAACAGAAAACCTGGCTTTTTCTTTCCCTATTATGACACATTCACCTTGCTCTGTGCCTTAGTCTATGGGATGTTCAGAGTAATAGATGATTTGTTTCTCCTTTTAAAAGGAAAACAGATCAGTTATATATAATCTTATTTATGTAGACTCTTCAACCTAATTCTATATGTCTTCATTAAGGAATAGTCTCAAGCTTACCTGTCACATGATTAATTATAAGGTTAATGATATGGAGGGAGTAGAGTTGTTGTGTTGTTGTTAATGATTGCCATCAAGTCAAGCATGACTCATACCAACACTATGAACGAACGACCTGAAGCCTTTCTATAACTATAGTCATTCATCAAAGTTCATAGAGTTTCCAGAGGAAACTGTTGTTTAGGAAATGGATGCCATTCCTGCTTCAGGGAGTAGAGAGGTAGGTAAAATTGATTATTTTATTTTTGGTTTTTACATATTGACCATCTCTTGCTTCCTTTTTTCACCTTACAAAGCTGAGATATAATCCATCATGGATTTTTCTTGTGTAAGTGGGTGAAAGGGGTAAGACTGAAGTTGCTGTTGATTTCATCTTGCTTGGATCTATAGTCAACACCTACGGAAGAAGCAGTTAAGCAATCAAAAGACATATTGTGTAGGACAAATCTGCTGTCAAAGATGTCTTGAAAATGTAAAAGAACAAAGATGTTACTGTAAAGTTTAACATGTGCTTTACCCAAGCCACTGATACTTTTAATTGTATTATGTGCTTATGAAAGCTAGACAATGGATAAGGCAGATTGAAGAGAGTTGATGCCTTTAATTGTTGTATTAGTGAAGAGTATTGAATATATCAGGAGTTGTCAAAACAACAAACAATCTGTATTGAAAGAAGTGCAGCCAAGTTGCTCCTTAGAGGTATAAATGATGAGATTGTCTCACATACTCTGGAAATTTTATCAGGAGGTACATGTCCTTAGAAGAGGAGCAAGTCAGCAAGAGAGAAGACAACTCCCTTGATGAGATGGATAGCAACTGCAATAATGGAATTATGCACAGTGGAGCTTATAAGGGTGGCCCAGGAGAGGGCAAGGTTCAGATTTGCTATTCACTGAGTCACTTTAAGTTGGAACAACTACTAACAAGTTGATGACATGACTAAAGTATTTTACTCTTCATCCTTCTCAATGACAGTAAAAGAGTGACTGCATTACATGCACAGTTTCTTTCTGGCAAAGGGCAGGTTTTACTTTGATATCCAAGTAGAAACATAAAAATAAGGCTTATAAACAAGAGCTTACTTTTGGAGTTTTTTATAAGAGGGCTTAATCTTTGTGTTTCTCCATCAAACAGACTCAGTCATTTGCAATCTGTCACCTGGCTGTGCTCCATGAGGAAGATCAGGGGATATTCTGGATGCTCTGAGGAACTGAATAGCAAGAGCAGACAAGGAGTTCTGAGGAGAACTGAACTACTGGTTAGAAAATCTTTAAGGATGAGGATGAAGGCACCAACAAGAACCCAACACAAAGAGATTGAGTGTTTCATGTCTTTCAGACACTATAAAAAATTAATACACACTATCCTATCCCATTTGATTGTTCTTACAAATTCCTGATATAAAGACCATAACTATGCTGATGCTATCTATAAGAACACTGAATTTTAAGAACATTAAGAAACATTTCCAAAGTACTAGGCTTTAAGTTATATAGTTGATAGATATAAACCAAGCTAACTATAGATCCTAGGGGTTTCAACAATATACTTTTTGTTTGTTGGTTTTTTCAATAATATATTCTTATACTAATATTTGTAAGTCTTTGAGTGATAGATAAACTAGAGATCGCTACTTTTTGTTTCTGTAACCATAACACTAGGTTGTCAATCCAAATAGTGTTGTTGGAGAAATAATTCTTTTGAATAGAAACATCTCAAAAACTCATCTATTGGCCCATGATTTTTTTTTTTTAGATTGAAAAGAAGCTTCTATAAGTGATATACTGCTTCATGGGAAGAAGTTCCCAGGTGATGTTGTTTTTGTTAGGTACCATCGAGTCAAAGATGACTTATAGTGATCCTATGATCAAAAGATCTGAATCCTAGTCCTGTCTGCGTCCTCACACTTCCTGACACACAAGAGCCCATTGCAGCAGTCATCCTGTCAATCCACCTGGTTGAGGGTCTTCCTCTCCCAGGTGATACAAATGATTAGTAAACTGGGCTGTTAACCTACAGAATGGAGTTTCAATCCTCTCAGAGGTGCTTTGAAAGAAAGGTTTAATAATTTTTCCAAAACCTCAATCATTAAAATCCATATGAAGCAGAAAGTTCTACTTTAATGTATATAGGGTTGCCATGCATCAGAATCATCTCAATTAGAAACTAGTTCCATAGGAGACACTTTAATTTCTTCTCTTAGTGTTCATATTTGTTGCTTTTTTTGACCATTTAGTCAGTATTTACATATCAATATTGAAACTCCATCCAAAATTTATAATTCAGAAAACTCGCCTCTGTAGGATAATGCCTTTTCATGGATTACTGAGCAATTAATAAAAACATTTGCACCAAAAACATTTGAGAGAAAGAAATATATCACATTTCTTTATGTAGACTTAGTCTTTGATGATACAGAAAAGTTAAAGAAATTAAAAGAAAGTCCTGAAACATTTACAAATAATCTAAAAGATATTTTCCCCTCCCCCCTTGTAATATCCACGAGATATGAGATTGATTGGCTGGTAGAGAAAAGAATGTAACATTCTTTTGCAATTTTTTTTAAAAGGAAAAAATAAAGAAATTAATTATAGGACAATATATCAATTAAAATGTGATTTTCTCTATTAAACATTTTTCATGGTAAAAAATAACAAAATCAACAGCAAACAATTGCTTTCTGGTGATTGCTAATTGTAAATAAAAAAAAATTAGATATTTGACAATTTTAAAGGGGGGTGATACCTACCATATCCTATAATTCCAAGCACACCCAACATGAAGATCCAGAAAAGGAATCCAGCTGTGTACCTCAGGAGTATCAGAAACAGCCAACTAAGCACCATGGCGATAATCAGGCCACTAGAGTAAAAAGCCCACAACAAAAACAGGAATCAAGTATGCTGGATATAACACAACAAAGGTATCAAGACATGAGTTTTATCTATTCAAAGTAATTCTCAGATTATTTAAATTTGGCTGTAGGGACACTTGTAACTCTTTAGAGGATTAAAATTAATGTTCATATTAAGATTTTCACCTTAAAGAGCAGGACTATCAGAGACTTTATTAGCAAGAAGATATTATGTTGTGCTTAGGCCAAGCCAATTCTACTACCAAACACTAGAAACACAATTCCTCTAATCTACGCTTTTGCATTGTTTTCAGCAATTGTAATTTTCTATTTATTTTTTTATGCTTTCCTAACCAAGACCACGCCTAAATCAAACCCACTGCTGTCAAGCCAATTCTGACTCATAACAACACTATAGGACACCACTAACAGAAGCAGACTGCCGTATCATTCTCTTAAAGGGAGGCTATTGAGTTTGAGCCACTGACCTTTTGTTTAGCAGCCAAGCCCTTACTCATTGAATCTCCAGGCCTCCTTCATACTGACCTATTAATGGTAAATCATAAAATAGAACCCTGAGGAATTTTTGTTGATCTATGTACTTGGTGACTAATGAAAACTTTCTGCAAGATGACCATCTTGAAGTTGGTGCAGTCTTGTTTCCAAAAATCTCATCATTAAAAACTCTATCAGAGTTCTAGAACAAAAACAACTTAGTTGAAAACATAGAAGAGAAACAACATAATTCCTAAACCTATGATTTTGTGCTTATTAACACGATGATTAGCTCCAGTAGTTTGTTCTGTCTGCCATTTGCAGATCTCTATTTCAGGTCCCCAGTGATGTGTGGGTCACTATTTGGAATGCATCTCCTGGGCCATATTGCTTCTATGCCTCCTGGGCCAAGTTGCTTCTTTGTCTCCTGGGCTAAATTGCTCTCTCAAACAATCAATAGCTTGACTCTTCTACTACTATTTTAATTTCTTCCTGAGTTTAACTAGACTTCTAGAGAAGTCTTGTATCTCCATATTCAGGTTAAGGTTATATTGGATTCTTTTCAGGTGATTGCCTCAAAGAGACCTCATTAAGAGTGGAAACTTGAGTGACTCTTCTATTAAAAAGTGACACCTTTTGTGTTTTTGCAAGTTTGCAAGCATAGCAGCAGACAGAGAAGGGTTTATTTATTGAGTTTATTGTCTTAGTGTTATCTTTAAAAAAATATTGGTAATTACTCTGACTGAATAGAGGACAGGATATCAGAGCACTTCCTTAAGTCATAGTTTTGCAGAGACTATCCCTTAACCTTCAGAAGCTATTGTCTCTTAAAAATTACAATACTTTAATGTCTTAACACACAATGTGGTTGTAGAATTGTTCTATGGCAAAGACCAAAGAGAATATACAAATAGTTTTGAAGTGCAGAAAAACTAAAAAATAAAAAAGGCAAGAAAGAAAAGCATATATATTCTGTGTTAATAATTATGGTGGATTTTATAGCTAGTGTCTTATTTTTTTTAATCTGAATTTAAAAGTCATAGTCTTCTTAAAACCAAACAATAGTTTAATATGATTAGTAAACAATGTCTTGTGTACTGCATCATTTTAACATCTATCTACATGGGACCTATTTGACAACAGCAATTCAAACAATTATTTAGGAAATCCAGAGGATCATGAGTTTATGCTAATGGAGGAGAAATAACTTGGAAAAGTGAATGATTGAACAGCTCAAAGAATGCAATCAATGTCAGTGAATTGGAAATGTAAAAATTATTGAATTACCATATATTCTATTGTGTATATGTGCATCAACAAGAAAAAAAAATAAAATATAAAGCAAAAATTAATTCTGGTTGAAAAACTAAATCCCAGAAGGAATACTTTTGATTTTATGTTTATAAAGCAGATCAAAGCAAATGATTAGAAACTAAAGGATCTTACTTTGTTCGAGTGGTCCGAGTGGTACCTTGGTGGGGAGGGTTTCAGAGTGAGTGTGTGTGTGTGTGTGTGTGTGTGTGTGTGTGTGATGGGAGGGAGGGGCAGGAGAGTCTATCATGACATACACTTTTTCAGATAAGAGTGGAAAAGCTGATATGAGGCAGAGGAATGGAATTATTCAGTGACATTTAAATCTATCAATAGTGGAGCCAATTTGCTATTGTAAAATAAAGAACACTGTCTCCTCTATTGAGATACTGCTTCACCCTTAACAGTAAACACTATAATTGTTTCAGACAAAAAGTAACAAAAAGAGTAATACTTTATGAAACTATATAGCTTTAAACTTCTAGAAAGGAATTACTGTATTTTACACACAATACAATTTAGTTTTAATAAAGAACCTAGAGTTAAATATGTTTTATGTTCCTATTATTTTGTATATCTGTTTCCTGAAGCTATATCTTATATGTACTTACTCTATTGCTGGTATCAGGCTAGCTATAAGGAAAACAGAGATAAATTGGACCTGGTTACTATTGTAAAGAGTTCATTGTTCATCAGGATGAAAAAGTCAAATTTCTGTATTGAAGATGAGAATGTGTGTGTGTATGCATACACACGCATATAATCCATAAGAGGAATAGAGATAGGGAGGTAATTACTTGTATCTGAAGATGTCAGGAAAGTCTTCTTAAATGACACTAAAGCTGATTTTTAAAAGTTGTTCTGAAGAACACAGAAGGACATGCCCAGTTATACTGTAAAGGGTATATTCTGTATGTGCAATGAAGATAGATAGAGGAAATCATGAGACTTAGGTGGAGTTGGGTCAGCCTGTAAAGGGTCTTGTAACTATTTAAAGACGTTTGAACTTCAATCTGTGATCATTAGAACAATAGATTTTTTTAAAGTATTCCAGAAGAAGACAGAGGGCCTGATAGTAATGACAACAATAAATGGGTCAAATATGTTTGCCTGGCCTGATATAAGCCATTCTGACTTATAACGACCCTCTATTTTGTTTCTGAGGCTGTAAACATTTCTAGAAGGTGACTGTCCATGATTTTTGCCCAGAGTAGCTAGTGTATTTGAACTGCTGACTTTTCCATTCACAGCTCAACAAGTAATACACTAAATCACTAGGGCTTCTCCTGTGTAGTAGAGTGACTGAATTGTTCCTCATCTTTCTAGGAATACAAAGATGTATCCCTTCATGTATTTTTTCAGCTATTTACAGCAATGACTGTAACAATAGTTGTGTGTAAAGGATGTAGGCAAAAGCAAGAGTGATCCTTCAGATGTCATGATTGAAAGAAGAGACCAGGGAACTAATAGATTGAACAAGCATGGGGAAAGAATACAACTTTGACACATACCCTTTTTCTGACTTTAAACTATGCCTCATCTCCCTATATTACTTGAATGATTGCTTCTTGGTCCACATGGGGGTTATACTCGAAGAAAATTCAATATTCTATAATTACCCATGAATCTATAAAATCTGCCCATAATTTATTATGTTCCATTTAGTGGAATGTCTTTAAATAGAGCACATAAAGCACAAGTAAACATGCTTCTGATATCCTTTGTTTTTAGCCAAAATCCATCTGACATCAGCCATACTGACCCTTGCTCCACAGCTCCTGCTGCATTTAGTTTGAATTTCTGGCAGTTCTCTGCCAATTTGTTGCTCTAGTTATTTTGGAATAGTGTTCAGGAATATTTTACTTACATGTAATATTAATTAATTATTTTGTAATTTTTACATTTTGTTCATCTGTTTTTTAAAATGGACACAAATAAGCTCTCTTCCTGTTCGATGGCTAGAGCGTAGTCTTTCAAATTTCTTGGTATACATGAGTGAGCACGTTCATGTCAACTTCTATTTGATGAAACAACTCAAAGGTATTTTGTCAATTCCTGTAGACTTAAATTTTGCCAATGTATTGAGTATAGTTGGGATTTTTCTTTTAGTATGATTGATTCAGTCTGAATACTGAGCAAGGAATCTGAAAAGAGAGGCTGTATGAAGAGGAATGTGGCATCAAGACTGAAGGAAAAATTCATCAACAGTCTGAAATATGCAGAGTACAGAAGTTTGTTGAAAATGAAGAAGACTTGAATTACTTACTGAAGAACATCAAAGACTACTGATTTCAGCGTACAACTCAATATCAAGAAGGAAAAGTTGCAATTGAATCAATAACAACATCATGTAGAACAGAGAAAAGATTGAAATTGCAAAGGCTTTACTTTTATTGTATCTACAATAACACCCATGGAAGTTGTGTGATGTGGCGCTGGAACTGACCTGCAGCTGACATTTCAGCTGGCTTTGGGAGGCAGTAAATCACATGGGAGAAGATAACCCATCCTTCGCCTTGTGAAGCAGGCCACAGAATGCCCAAGCAGTAAAGAAGTAACATAAAGTATTTCATTGGGCAAATATAGTATCATGTACTTCTTTAAAGTGTTAAAGGACAAATGTTTCACTGTAAAGAATAAAGTGTGCCTGATCTAAGTCAAGGAATTTTCACATGCTTTGTTGTTGTTGTTGTTAGGTGCCATCGAGTTGAGTACTACTTATAACAACTCTATAAACAAAAGATCTGAACCCTGCTCTATCCTGTGCAATTCTCACACTTCCTGTCACACTCTTCCCGACACACAAGAGCCCACTGCAGCAGTCACCTTGTCAATCCACCTGGTAGAGGGTCTTCCTCTCTTTCACAGACCTCCACCCTTCCCAACATAATGTCCTTCTCTAAGAAATAGCCCCTCCTAGCAAGCAACATGCCCAAAGTATGTTAGGTAAAGCATCATCATTCTTGCCTCCAGCTGCACCTTCTCCAAGACATATCAGTTTGTTCTCCTGGCCGTCCATGGGATGTCAGTGCTCTTCTCCAACACCACAGCTCAAAGATGTCAATTCTTCTGTCATTCTTATTCATTGTCCAGCTCTCAGATTCATAGCAAGTATTAAGAAAGTCTATGGCCTTGAATCAGACATACCTGTCTTCAAACTGACATCATTACTCCTTAATAATTTAGAGAGGTCCCTAACTGCATATTTTCCCAGTGCAATGTGTCTCCTTATTTCCTGACTGCTGGTACCAAGTTGTGGATCCAAGCAAGATGAAGTTAGTGACAGTTTCAATCTCCTCTCCATACATCATGACTCTGCCTATCAGTCTAGTTGCTTCATAAGTATGTGAAATTTGGATAATGACTGAAGAAGACTAAAGGGAAAAAAAGTAATGGTTTTGAACTGGTTGTTGGCAAAAATAAATAAATAAATACTAAGTATATCCTAGATTCCCAAAATAAGAAACAAGTCTGTCTTGGGAAAAGTACAGCCAGTGTGCTCCTTAGAAGCATGTATAGTGAAACTTCTCTGTCACTTATTTTGAGCATGTTATCACGAGCATTTGGTTCTTAGGAAAGGATATAATTCTTGGGAAAGTAGATGAGGAATGGGAAGAACTTCAATGAGATGTATTAACACAGTGGACTATAACAATTGGCTTAAGCACAATAGGGATTCTGAGAATGGCACAGGATCAAATAGGGCTTGACTCAATTGTATGTACCTAGAGTCACTAAAAGTTGAAGTCAATTGAACAGTACCTATCCTAACAACAATTACAGAGAAATAACACTCTATCAGTCATGTCAATACGAGTAAAGAAGACCAAGTCCTACACATACTGCCCCAAGTGGCTTAAAGTATATGGTTCTTGTATTATCTTGATAAGGAATAAAATTTAAAATTTCATTTATTATAACTTTCTGCCAGAACTGGACATATTTACAAGTATCTTTGTACCCATTTTCACATTATGTAAAAATAAAAAAGCAGGAATTGAAATCTAAGTCAGTCTTCTATACACATAAAAGAAACCAATAACTCAAAGAAAGATGTCTATAGACCCAAAATCAGAATAAGGCTGAAGAAGAAATATATACTTTCACTTACACGATAATCCAAAGCCAAGATGTTGAATAATCTTCAAAAACCTTCAGTGCAATTGATCTTGCTTTAAGGAGTTTGTCTATACCTCTGAATTCAAAGAAGGAAAAAATAAATCAATTTTATACTACCACTACAAAGAAATATTATTATTACTATAAAAGGGATTTCGCATGTTGTTCTTCAGTATTTTTAGATGGCATCTACTTAGTAGTGACTCCTTTCCCAGTCACAATGTTAGATGAAATGTCACTTTGATAGCCATGCACAGATGGCTACCCATAAAAAAACAAAATGCTGTTCAAAAAATGGTAAACAGATCTTTTTCCAATATATGCAACACTGCAGAAACCTCAGTAAAAGCACAGAATTTAATCATCAGCTTTTAACTTTCAAAATCCATTGGATTAAAAATCAACACCAAACTTACTTCCTCTAATACAACGCGTTTAAAAAAGGGGGGACCTTCTACTACACTAAGTTTGAGCATGAAAGAGACTGTGAAATGGTACAACATCAAAAGACATCTGGGAGAGGTTTCTATCTGTTGTACATAGATACAGTCTGTATGAGTTGAAGTCAATTTGATAACTCCTAACAATAGCAACATATCTTTGACAGCCCAGTAGCACAGGTGTATAATGAGGCACACACACAAAACTGCACAAATTATTAGTGTCCAGTTTGATGAATACATTTGTATAGCTACAACACAGCCTTGTCAAGAAATGGAAATTGCCACTTCTTTTCCCCAAGTAGCTCAATTACACCTCTCTTTCTCAAAAGTAATCAGTATCTAAACTTTTGGAATAATTTACTCATTTTCTTCCTTATATATTCACCACTGAGCAACTAAATTACATTCTATTTGGTTTTTTTTCTCTTCTGAATTTCATCAGTGGAGTCACACTTGGATTATTATTTTGTCATTTCTTTCACAGTTTTATCCATGTTCCTATTGGATTTTAAACATGCAAAAATTGCACTATTATGCCTGGACTGCTTGGATTTTTTTATCTTTATATTTTCTGTGTTAATTGGGAGAAAATAATGTGTTACAGCTTGGTGTGCATAGCCAAGTTGCACTGCAACTATTCTGTAGAAATTGGATACAGAATTGAAACTACTGTCATGATCTTGCCTTCTTTTTTAAATTCTTAATCACTTTCAGTAAACTCTGGTGGCTTAGCGATCCTTATCGCTATGTGCTTATCGCCTTATGCTATGTGCTGGCAACTCAAAGCTATGTGGTTTGAATCCACTAGCTGCTCTAGGGGGGAGAGATGGGTAATCTCCTCACTTGCTAATTAATTGTCTCTGAAAACACTCTGGAGGGTCAACTTTGCGATGGTTCCAACTTTATGGTATTTAAGAACAAGATTTCCAGAACATCTTGCAATTTCTTTATTTCTGCCATTTAAATATCACAGTGCTTTGAAAACCATGAGTTTTATTCTGTTAACTCACAAAGTAAATTATGTAAAATCTTTTTATGTTTCCTGATGTTGCATTTCTACACTTACTGATAACAAAAAAAAATTACTAGTTTGTAAAACTTAAGTTTTTTCAGGTCTTTATTTCTGATTCATTCTGATTTCTCCTTCTTTATAGATTTTTTTAGCACATCTATACACGTACATTTCATATTAATATATAATTCTTCTATAACCTTTTGAGCTCTAGTAGAATGTTGTTATTGTTTGCTGTTGAATCAGAACCTCCCTTAAGCTGGTACTCCAGCAGGTTTTCAGTGGTAGGTAACTACACAGGAAGAAATTAATCTTCTGTCTCGCTCAAAGCAATTTGTGGATTCAAACCACTTGCTTTGGGGATTACAGTGCAGCTTCTTACCACTAGGCCACCAGAGCTCTAGTGTTAAGGAAAGGCACTATTATCTAAAAGGCATGCAGTTTAAATCCACTAGCTGCTCGATTGAAGAAAGATACCATCAATTTACTGCTTCTGAATACTCTCTGGAGGGTCAACCATGAGTCAGTTTCAACGTACTAGTACATAACAACAGCATAAGCCTTTAAGTATAAAGGATCTTTGGTCTTGACACAATGAAGGATACATCAAAACGGAGACCAGCAACGTAAACAACATACTTTGCAGCTGTCCTGAGTTCTAAAACATTTCTTGTCACCCCTTGTCCATCCTGGAATGTTGTCTTATTTCCTACTGTTAAGGTGCCATTGTTAGTAGTAGAGAAGTCAGGGAAACATCTCTGGAGAACTGCAAAAACAAAATTTTATTATCACTTTTTCTTCCTGGTTTTTTTTAACACTTTTTCTTCCTTTCTGATGTCTTTTCTATTCTTATGCATTCTGTTATTGATAAAACAATTCTATAAATGGTTTAGTACAGGTAAGTTAATTGCCAATTGCTTGATCTGGAGAATTCTCTGATAGTTCTAAGTCTGAAAAAGAAAGCCAGTCTGATTATAATCTGAAGTAATGAATTTATTTCTTTCATAGGGAATATAAGTAATAAATAAGATGTATAACACAAGATTGGCCTTCCCTTTACCTAGTCTAGTAGTGTTCATTATCTACCCATTCTTTTTCTGCTCCCTCCCTTCCCCATATCCTTTCTATTTTTATAACAATGGTCTCATTTAGTATTTCTTAATCCATTCATTTCTTGATGAGCATTTGGGTTTCTTCCATATTCATGTTATTATAAATAGCAGGGCTATAAACATAGATACACAGTTCTCCTTTTGTGTATCAGTACTAAAGAGCAATGATTTCAATCTGGAGACTAAGGTGCACCTGATTCTGGCCTTGGTCTTGGCAATTACATACTATGCATCAGAAAACTAGATAGGGCTGGCTTTAGCTCAGCGGTTCCTTCGGCGCATCTTCAAAAAAACTACAGTAGAAAACTAGATAATGACTGGGGATGGCAGAAGTAGAATTGATACCTTTGAGCTGTGGTGCTAGAGAATGGTATTGAATATACCATGAAATGCTAAGAGAGCAAACAGGTTCAGCCTGCTCCTTGGAGGCAAAGTTTCTGAAGTTTGTCTGACATATTTTGGGTCTGTTGCAAGGAGGGACCATTCCTTGGAGAGGGACATTATGCTTGGGAGTGTGGAGGGACAGTGCAGGAGAGGAAGACCCTTGATGATATGGATTGACTTAGTGACTGGAGTAATGGGGGTGGATATGTCAGAGTCAGTAAGATTGGCTCTGGGTAGAGCAGGTTTCAGAGCTGTTGTGCATTGGTTTATTATGAGTCACATGCAACTTGACGGCATATAACAACAACAATATATTCTTAGCTGTGCAATAACTGGGTCATATAGAATATCTATGTTCAGCTTTTTGAGGAAACAGAAGATTATGTAATCTAGAGCTTCATCAATAAGTACTTTAAGTCTTCTATGCTCTGAGTAAATACGGTTATTCTTAACTAATTGAGTAAAGAGGACAGATCCTATCTAGCACCTGTGAATTTTCTAAAAAAATCATGTCTCTCAAATGTGTTTGCTGTAAGGTGGTGCGAAAGATCCACATTTAACATACTTTAAACACCCTGTTCTCAGACATCACTCTGAAACATACTACTGAGATGTTAATTAAGAAAAGCTGAAAATATTTATCTTTTTTTAAAGTTTACTCAGTCTCTTTTTCACATGCTACAAGAACGTTTGGATGAGAGAACACTGAAGAGGTAATTTTTTTAGTCCAGATTTCATAAACTCATGGTGCAAAATGGGTCCCACAGCTTCTTCTCAGTAAAAAATGCTTTCCACTGTTTGCTGGCTGCCTGTGAAATTTTGAAGTAACTCAAATGCTCCTGAAAAACTAGTTGTGTTCACCCATGCTGTTTTGCTGACAGCTATAGCCAGCCCCATAACAACCACTGACTGACTGGCTCTCAAGGCCCATGTAGGTGGACTGGGTAAATGCCCCCATGCCCTGCATCATTTGGATACTATAAGCCCCTGATTGCTCGTGCCCCTGTGTTTGAATTTAAGAAGAGCTCTACGTATCTATGCTGCATGTTGGCTCCGTCTTTTGGCATGGCGGCCACAGCTGCTTCATAAGCAGCAAACTTAACACCTGCTTCTCTTGATCACTCTTCCATCCAGGCCAATCTCACTATGCACTCTCACAGGGTTGAGTGGAGAGAAACAGTTATAAATGTCATTCTCAGTCACTTTGTATGGTAGAGTCCTCAGTGTCCAATTGTGTTCTGGACAGCAAACTTGCTGTCTCCCTATCTGTAGTGTATATTCCTGACAAGCAGTAACTGAGACCTCTGCCAAACAGATCGGTAGTGAAACCACAGCTGTCACTGAGGCCACTGTGCTCCTCATGGCCCCCATAATCTGTGTTATAAACCACAGACCTCATCATGTCAAAGTCTGCTTGTTTGACAATGCCAATATACCATTGGGCGGTATATGAGGCCCATCATAGGGGCCTGGTCACCCCAGATATGAGCTTCAGGTGGAGATCAGAATATGATCTGACTTGTTCCTAACTGCTCTTGAACACTCCTGTTCTTTTCTTGTGCTTCCCTAGAGCCTTCTCAGCTAACTCCTGTGAAGCAAATTACACAAAGGCTTCTCCTGTAATCTTGTCTTCAGGGTCCACTGACAAAGGCATCCCCTTCTATGTGACTTCTAATCCTGAGAAGAACTGAACAATTTCCTCTTTTGTGCTTCCAAATGGGAGTTCTCGAAGGTGCACAAGCCATCATTGGCAGTATTGGCCCTATTTGGACCCCCGTGCGCCAACACCCAATCCATTTTGGTTCTATGGATCTTGAAAACCTCAATATAGAGGTGCTCCATGCTTTCTCTGTATTTCTTCAGTGCTATTTTTACACCATCTTCTGATTCAAGTTCAACAAAAGCTTCACCACTCTGCCTGCCTTCCTGGGTGTAAATGAAATGAACACCTGCTCTGTCATCTATGAACTTTGCATTCAGACAGGAAATTCTGCACATCTTTAATAAAACAAGGTCATGGCAAGCCTCGAGATTGACCACAAATCCTTCACCTCCCTCAGAAGACTGGGCAGATCTGGTGTCAAATCAGCTTACTGAGGCTTTGATGGAAGTAGAAGTTCACAGCCTTCAGATGTTCTGGTAGTTATTAATTATCCTAAGGCTATGAGACCCCACATTCCTGCTCTCCACACACTCAGCACCTTGTTCATCCATCCTGGGCACCTTAAGTGCCTTCTATAAGATGCAACCCACCCAAGACTATATTTTATACATGTTATTTTAGAGGGGATTTGTTTATTTATATTTTTCGCATGAAAATTTGTCACATTTTGCTTTAATTTGGACACTTATTTCCCTGGACTTCCTAAGGAAAATATTGTTAGCGGGACCTAAGTCTTTGCTTTAAGATCTTTATTGTCCCACAGTAGAGAGATGAAAGCTGGTAAATATGTGTGGTTGGAGGTAGTTTGCCACTTCAATGGTACCTGATTTTCTAATTAAACTCATAGTTCCCTTTTCTCCCATTTTAGAATAAGGAGATATTCATTACGGAAAAAGAAGACAAAAGGAGAAAAATACCCAGCCAACCACTTAATATTTTGGTCCATTTCCAATCTTCTTTCTAATTGATTTTGGGACATGAAGCAAATCACACAAACTTGGTTTTGTTTAGTTCCTCAGTTTTGAAATCAGGGAAAAGAGTTTAAAAATTTCTCAGTAGGTTTTGTTTCTGGGGTAAATAAGTTACCACTTACAAGGTTTGCTTGGAAATATTGCTGCTGGACAATCTTCATCCAATAAAACTTTTGTGAGAGACTAGAATGAAAGGAAAAGTATGTTAACATTCAAACGTCTCTGATGGTTACTTTTGCTCTCAACACAAAAAATAATTGATCTTTGAAAATGTTATCTCCTTAATGATGTTATTGTTCCAAATGAATTTTCCTAGTAACGGTGTTAGATTTTCTCATGCAGACACATACAGCAATTGTCCTTAAATATTTTCTTGTCATTTGATGGTTGCATCAATCATAACTCACTGAAACCAAACACACTCACACACTCTTGAAAACATATTTTTTTCCCCTAAAATACATTCTCTAACCCTTCAATTTTTTTCTGGGGAAATATCTCTTATCTAGAAGTCATTAATGTTATTTAACATAATGAGTCTTTAGAATAATCTATTTCTCAGATGGGTAAAGTTTGGGTTTTTGTTTGCCATTTTCTAAAAAAAATAAGTAGTTATCACTTACTATAACTGGTTTGGGAAGTAAAATTCTATTTGTAACTAAGTATTGGGACTCTACTGGCCTAGTAGGTAGGGAACCAGAGTGCCAACACAAATGTGTGCCATGCTTCAAGCTATTCTGTGGGAGAAAGACCAGCAGCCTCTTCTGATGCAATTTACAGTCTCAGGAAACACATTGGAGGGGCAATTATACATTTATTCTGACTTGAGGGTAAGGAATTTGTGATTTACTTGTTAATGGAATCTAATCACCATGCGAATGATATGGCTGCAAAGGACATTTGCATTTGAAAGCAATAAGTCTATGCCATTAGAGTTTGCTGGAGTCAGGGAATCCTTGATGTTAACTTGCCAGACTTTCTAGTCTTACATAATAATTCAAGTCTGCAAAATGATACACTAGAAACAGTGTGTGTCTTTGTGACTGTGTGTTAGAATATATCTTTTAACTTATGTTGGCTTTAGTATTGCTAGAAGATAAGAGAGTTTGTCCAGCTATAAATACTTATAATTAAGAGTGAAACAAAAGTTAAAATTCTTCTCTAGCTTTAAACTTAAATGCACATACCATTTTTGGGCTCACAACATTGGACTTGCAGAATTGCTTGTAGTATGTCCAGTACTTTTGGTTACTTTTAGCTCTATTTTGCATTTCTAGATAGGTTGTAAATGTTTCTGGGCACTTGGAGACACAGATCTGTGAAAGAAGGGACACAGTAATTGAGAAACTGAATTAAGTGGGATAAGCATGATAGTGTTCAGAAAGTTATAGCTCCAACTTATCATTACAGTGAGAAACAACACACTGCTTTTCATTTCAGAAACGTTAAGCAATTTTCTAACCTTATTGTAGAAGACAACATTCCATGCACTTGTTACCAATTTTTATTCTGGGAACCTTGATGCAGATACTGTGCTAAAGCAATTAGATGTTGTACATTAAAGGATTATTTTTACATTTTAATTTTTAAATAAATGGGCCACCTGCAATTGTGGGAATGAATACAAGAATTCATGCAGTTTCCCTCATTGATGAGGAATTGCATGATAATAATACCATATCACAGCTAGGAAATTAACACTGATACAGTCTGCAGCATTTTTCAGTTTTCACCAGTTTCAGGTATATTCAGTGTGTGTGGTTTTCTGGAATTGTATCATATGTGCCACAGGGCACAGATGGATTTTCAGTAAACATTTCCTTATGATTTTATAAGGGAGTTCTGGTGGCCTGTGGATAAGAAGAAGCTGTGCTGCCAATTGAAAGATGCTTAGTTCGAATCTACCAGCTGCTCAGTAGGAGAAAGAATGACAATCCCCTTCTGTGCAATTTACTGCCTCTGAAAACCTGCACTTGGGTTAGCTACGGGTCAATCCTCAATTGATGGGATATAACAACATAATTGTATAAATGGGTAGATAAAAACACAATTTCAAATGAATTTGTCTATGAAATGTGTATATTTTTCAGGTTTAGAATTGTTCTTTCTATTTTATATATATAAAACAGTGATCAAATGGTCTGAATATTGATACTTTATGTCATTAATAAGTATCAGTGCCACTGAATCCTCAAAAAACAATTCACAAAACATAACTTGGGTTATATCGCCATAAGAAACCAGCAAGCTTAAGACTTATTCTAAAACCAGTCATTATTATACAGTTTTTTTCTAAAAGCACTTAGATATAGACATAGAGGTCATCTTTGCAATTATTTTACATTAATGAACTTAAGAATGCTGTTTGACTGTGTGGATCATAACAAACTGCGGCTGACTCTGAGAAGAATGGGAATCCCAGAACATTTAATCATGCTAATGCGAAACTTATACTTGGACCAAGAGGCAGTCTTCAGAACAGAACAGGGTAGGACCACATGGTTCAAAATTGGGAAGGGTGTATGCCAGGGATGTGTCCTATCTCCATACCTTTTCAACCTGCATGCAGAGCAGATTATCCGAGAGGCTGGGCTCTATGAGGAGAAGGGTGGCATCAGGATTGGTAGATAACAATCTGTGTTATGCAGATAACACAACCCTGCTTGCCGAAACTGAGGAGGACCTCATGCTCTTGCTGCAGAAGGTCAAGGACTGCAGCCTTCACTATGGACTGAGGCTCAATGTCAAGAAGACAAAGATTGTCACCACTGGACCAATTGGTAGCATCAGGATGGATGGCAAAGAGATTGAGATTGTTCACAGCTTCAGTTTGCTCAGCTCCATGGTCACACTCTTGACACCAGTAGCCAAAAA